GGACGTGTTCGTCGGGCACAATGTAAACTTCGGACGATATAAAAAAAAAAAAAGATAAAAATACGCAGGAGCTGAAGAATACTCTTAAATCTATTAATGTGTATACTTATTTAAATGATAACGTTTCACATTTATTTATAATATTCTAGTAAATGTTACATCGTTGCTAGAGAATTAGTACATAGGGAAATATAAAGGATAAGCTGTGTAAGATACGATGATAATAATGTAAGAATAAAGTTTAATTTAACCGAAGAATAAAGTATTTCACGAATAAATTGTTAAACATTGAGTCTTTGTTCGTTACTTATTATTCGGATAAAATCGCGCCCGTTTCTGTTGGGAATGAAATTAATACAAACAGTAAATTTCAGTGACACTATCACAGCAGGTGTTATCTGATCGAAAAGATGCAAGAGTTCGATCTTGATGCGCGTACAGGCACAATTTATTTTCCTGGCACATCGATTAATTAGCTGTCCCCGTATTTATCTACGAAATACTAATGAAACTCGTTAGTTGTGAATTTAATTCTTTGCCCTCAAAATGTAGATCAAAAATCACCTGCATTATTGCTCGGTGCTAGTTTTTAGTACAATTTTTCCTGATTACGATTTCGTATGTTTTTTCCCCCCTCCAACATCGCGTATTTGCCGCATCAAATTTCGATTTCGAATTCGTGGCAACCTGGAGAACTCCTATATGTAAAAATTTTTGTGGAAATCAAGACGCGTTCGCGTATTTTGGGCGAGCTTCTTGGGTGAAATCGATCACGAAACGCGAGAAACGGTGCCACGGGGGCGCGGAAAAACGTTGACGATATCGAACAGGGGACGATACGCGACGGATAAGATATCGACGCGATCAAAGGGGGAGGTTCGCAAGGATCGCGCGGGAATCAAAGAAGACAACAAGTAGCAAACAGCCTGCAGCGGTGGATGATCTAGCACCTATTGCCCCCCTCCGCTATGCTTTCTGCTTTCTCGTTCGCGTTTTCTGCCCGAAGCGGAACATTGGAACCCTCGTTTTTCGCTACAAGGGCACTGGCCCTTCGTTTCAGACTCAATCGTCAACGGGCAGGTTGCACGACACGCTACGAGTCAAGTTTCGAAAGCATCAAGGATAGTAGAACCGAAAGATTATTCGAATTTAAAGATTATTCGACATTTATAACGCGTGATGATACTTTACTGCTTTCAAATTAAAAATGAGATATCGACTGGCCCTTCGTTTCAGACTTAATCATCAGAGAGCAGGTTGCACGACACGCTACGAGTCAAGTTTCTAAAGCATCAAGGAGAGCAGAATCGACATTAAAGATTATTCGACATTTTTAACGCGTGACGATAACTTTACTGCTTTCAAATTAAAAATAAGACATCAACTAACCCTTCGTTTTAGACTTAACCCCTTAACGCTCATATTTCTCAGATTGATCAAGAATGATCAGTTTTCTTTATTCATTACAATTGAACAATTATTTTTGTTCATTACAATGTTGTATCTAGTGTATAACTTGAAGGAAAACAAATATAGTCATCCCTTAAAGCATCAAATTAAACAAATATCGTTTTTCAAAGCAGTCAGACTCGGGCATGAGCGTTAAGGGGTTAATCATCAGAGAGCAGGTTGCACGACACGCTACGAGTCAAGTTTCTAAAGCATCAAGGATAGCAAAACCGACATTAAAGATTCTTCGACATTCTTAACGTGTGATGATAACTTTACTGCTTTTAAATTAAAAATAAGACAATCAACTGACCCTTCGTTTTAGACTTAATCATCAGCGAGCAGGTTGCACGACACGCTTCGAGTCAAGTTTCTAAAGCATCAAGGATAGCAGAACCGACATTAAAGATTCTTCGACATTTTTAACACGTGACGATAACTTTACTGCTTTTAAATTAAAAATAAGATCCCTTGATCCCCCGTAAACTGTTATTGTTCGTAAACGAGAAAGATTTTTGTTCTGTTGACCGGCAGTCTGGGCGTTCGTCAAGCTTCCGCAGAAGATGACGACGAAACACAAAGTACCCAACAGATACGCGCATAGCCGCGTCTCAAAATAGGTTCTCATATCTGTAAATAAACGACAACAGCGAAGAAACGTATACGCAGAAGACTCCGCGAACACAAGCACAATGATTACGCGTTGAACAATTATTCGCGATTTATATAAATAAAATTATAACTTTTAAACGGTTTCGAATTCGATGTATAATAGAGAGGGTTTCTAGATTAAAAATTTGGATAAAGAATCGTTTGTCTATCTGGATTAACTAATCTATCGAATCGATTTTAATTAAATTCATTTGTTCAGCTGTTTATTCGGGTTGTATACCAGGGGAAAGGAGTGTTAAACAATTATAAATAAAATCCAGTCGCGTCTGTACGTTTGTCACCGCGTCACGGGGAAACGGCGGGAGGGATCGCGATGAAATTTAGAACGAGTTCCTGAAGTAGACCAACTTAAAATATCGTCTATATGACATAGCGAACTTCTTGCCCGGAGGAGGGGTTGTCGAGAACTATAAAATGTATGATAATAAAATATCTTACATTTGCTTTCACAGCAAAAGCATTCGCAACATAGTCTATTGGAAATTAAATTTAGAATCTTGGTTCTTCTATACAAATATCGATACACGGTCGGGACGAAAGAAAATTTAAAAAAAAAAAACGTGTATCGTACAAAATTATTCAGTGGCGTCTCTTCTCGAGACATTTTTACGAGGTTCAGTTTGCAATACAACAAAAATACAACGGGTACAAAGTCGTTAATTTTATAACACTTTTAACCCTCAATTGGACTTTTAATCAAGTTCAAACTGCTAATTGTTTAACATATTCAAATCTCTGAAACACCTCTACCCATAAAAAAAATAAATGTACTATATACCCCTTTAAACCATGTAACTTTTGTACACAAAATTTTATGGTTCAACCCATATTTTGGAAGTTATAGAGGCGCCCAAGTTGCGTGGAACATCCTGTATAACTTCAAAGTTTTAATATTTATTTTCATAACCCCGCTAAAATTCATGCATCCTATTCAAATTTATTTCCTTTAACGTTTCTACTTTCGAACTAATTGCTTAATATATTTCAATGTAATTCGAAAATTTATGTAATGCTCCATTAATTCATTATTTTTTTAAACGCTTTAAAGGAAAATTGATTTCCATTTGCTAGTTTAGTAGAAATCCAACGTCAAGTGAAATAATTGAGATCGAGAGTCCACTTAAGGGTTAAATTTCTCATCATTTTTATATTTGATGCAAAGAAGGATTTTACATCGTCGTCGTTGAAAGATAATTACAATAGCGTAAAATACTTCGCCCTTCCATTTTTTCTTGCGATATAGATTCCTCGAACGAAAGTCGTTGGTTTGAAACGCGAACTCGACGGTTTTTCTGGTGTTTTGAACATTGGAGAGAAATTAAACGGAAGAAATAAATGTTGTACCGTGCACAAAATGAGCGTGGTTTCCGTCAGTTACCGTTGCCCGGCGTTGCACAGGCGTACATGAACGTGCACGTAGCACGTGCATGCGCTGCATGAGATTAAACAAAGGAAGCGGGAAGGTGTACGCGCACTCTAAATGTACATAACGGTGACACGAGGCGTGGACTGAAACCAGCTCGCCTAACTATTCGTTTACCGAAACGAACGGTTAATGAGAATACCTACACGCCGGGGCTTTCGGGTTCTCACAAAACGAGAGAATAGTTCTGCGTGAAAACGGACGAGATTAACGCGTCGACTGCCACGGTGACACACTTCAGACTTGTTTGGAAGGTCCCATCAAAAGCTGCGGTGTTTTTTTTTTTACCATCTATTTCAATAACAACTATTCTAACTATAAACTTTAACAGAACGACCCAAAAAGGTAATGATCTGATGACTTTACAGTCGATGCGACATTAAACCCAAAGGGGAAACAAAATTTATGATATTTGTATAATCAGGGTTTTCTTTTTCTTCCAATTTGGTGAATTTGTTCGTCTTCGAACTATTTTTTGTCGGTCTGATTATCGTTTGTCGTGAATTAATTTAAAAGACAGTGGTAAAGAAGACTCGTAAACGATCGACGAGCTTTCTGCGCTGTTTCATCGAAGCAAAGTAGAAAAACAACTCGTTTCATTTTGTTACGGTTATGGAAAGGCACCTGTGTGGACAAAGGATGACGTCTGTTGACTGAATTTTACTAATACAGTACTTTAGAAAGGAGGATGTTAAAAAATGGCCATTTTTGGCATCGTCTCGAAATGAAGAATTCATGCAGGATCTTTCAGGAAGATCACGAAGTTAAAAACAAGTTTTGAACGTTAGTCTCCGAAATAATTGATGAAAAAATCAACAAGGAGACGAAACAAACCCTTATTATATATCCTCATCGGATGGAAACAACACTCAACAATGTGTTATACACACGATACGTTCGATACCTTAATACTATTTTCTCCAAACATAGTTAAAACGATACAAAATAGATTTGTATATTTTCAAAGCAACGACAAACCGTTATTCTAGAACGATAAACTTTACTAAGAACGAAACTCCGTTCACGGCATTCGAAATTCGTACGTATTAATCGATACCGTGTACATATGTAAAGTGGTAAAACGCGTAAAATGGTACTCTAAACAGGTAAGTTTCTAACGATCAACGCGTTTGGTAGCATTATCTAGAAGCAACCCGATACGCGATCACCCGCGAACCATCAACGGGGCACATCGGTGACCGACCAGCTAATATCCGTTGCACGGGATCCGGATAGATCGTTCCCGAGCATCGATCTTCACCAACACACTCGGTAACGCGTACGGTTCTCGCTGGAAGCCGCGAAAAACCATAAGGATCGATCGATCGGTCATCGAAGCGTCCCCCCTATCACGCGTTTTGAGCGCGAAGATCGACGTACGAGCCGCATAATATACACATCGTCGTGAATGAAAATTCCGTAAATTAAGAAGAATGAACGGGTGAAGACGGTGTACCTGGCGGATGAAGCCACCATGGATTGACCAGGGATGGTTGTTGGTTGCCGTGGCCCTCGCCGTCAGGGGCGTACATCCTCCTCCAACTACGTCACGCCCGTCACTGCCGCCCCGTGCGGCTGCACCCCCGACTGCCTTCAACCCATAGCCCACCGCTCCTCCCGGGATTCCTGTCACTTCCCCTTTCTCCACGTACGCAAGAGGGTTGCAAGGTTACCGGCGCGCCCCGTCGCTCCGCAGCCGACCGACCAACCCAACCGTCGCTCCCGCCACCCCCGAGCTCCCTCCCCGCGGCTACCTCGAACAGCGTTCAAGGTGGAGGAACATCCACCTCCGTCGGCGAGCGACGCACAACCACCCCCGTCGGTTTTCCTACGTAGGCAACCGGCCAGCCACAGCCATCGCTTTCGCTAGAAAGTCCTCGGGCCGTTACGAGGGCGGCCTCTCGGCCAGGGCTGACGTTGCAAAGGGCGAGCTCGATCAACTTTTATTTTTTTTTTTTCTTTTCTTTTCTTTTTCCCTATTTCTACTTTTTCCTTTCTTCTTTCCGCGTTCGCCAGCGGCGAACCATCGACCGATTCTGGCTCCCTTTCGGGCGAATCGATAAGATAATTTTACTAGCCAACGCGTTCGCAACTTTTAGACCATTGGCGGGAGTCGAGAGTGGTACACCATAGCGTCGAATTTGAGTTAACACCGGATTCAAGCTGCCTTCTATTTATCGTAAAAATCGATTTACTTGTAAGCTCATACTTTGAGTAAAGTTAGCGGTGCATATCGAATCGTAATGGTGCAAGTCCAACCTTGCGTTCCATTATTAATACTTTTACGTAGAAATTAAAAAATATATTATATTACACGTTATTTTATTCACTAAAAATGTAGTCGTTATTAAACTGATAACGTTTCTGAAATATCACTCGAGAATTTAAACATCCTTCGCTTAGTTTCATACACAGTTATTCTTTAACACTTTTCTACACTTTTAGATGTGTTTTTGTAACGTATACATACATTTTGGTATAAAAAAATATAGTACTCTATTTAAAAAAGGAAAGTTGACCTTCGAATCTCCGAAACATATTATAATATACCCCTTTGAGCCATGCAACTTTTGTACACGAAATTGTTCGGTGCAACCCATATTTTGGAAGTTATAGAGTTATCAAATTTGTCTTACAAGCCTTTGAATTGTAAATATCTCGAAAGCTATTGAGTATCTAACCTTATAATAATATATATTTGCAAATAGGGCAACAAGATCTATCAGTGCTAAAAATCTCAATGAAATCGGTGACCCAAAGGTCCTGTATCTGTATTCTCCTTGTTAGTACTTATTTTCGCAACCTAAAATTCATGAATCCCATTCAAATTTATTTCCTTTAACGTTTCGACTTTCGAATTAATTGTTTTAGTTTCACAATGAACAGTCTCTGAGAATCAAACAGCCAAAGTGCTAACGAAAAAAACAAACGGTGATCGAAAAGATCAATGGAAGATTCTATTTCTATTTTAATAGTTGAACCGCTAGCGTTTTTATTCAAACATCAATTCAGAAACACCGGATCCTTGGATCATCCTAAACATTTTTGAAAAGCTATTTCTCGTTTTCTATCCGAATAAAACACAAGTCTAATCGCAAGGGAGACACGTACGTAGATATTTTTCAGTCCGTACTCTAATGCGATCTGGTAGTCAGATTAAGGCAAGTGACACTGTTCTCGGTTTACGGGGTCGGCAGCTTCTGGCGTCGGCATATTAATTAAAACGCCTGTCCTTTGTCGCCATACATATTTTTGTAGCGTTCGTGATGAGACAAATATTTCCTAACACGATGGACAGTTTAATGGTACTAGACGATTCCGTCGAAACGTTGAAACACGTTGTTCGAATCAAACACGAATTTTTATAGTTTCAATGGCGTTGAGCAACTCTGTATCGGCGACTATGGCAATTGAAAGTTCTACTGTTCGCGTTGGGGGCCCCGTGTAAGAGATGGAGAAGAGGCATCCCAGTAGACCCTGCCTAAAACGTCGGTCGAGCGCTTGCGAGAGAAACGGTCCCTCTGGCGGCGAGTACAGGAACCGACGGAATGTTTGCAAACGTTATCACCGTTATTTCTAACGTTTGGTCACCCGTTTCGTTGAACTCTGAACAATTCTGATCTGCAATTTTTCCGATTAAAGCGGACCACGGTGCAGGTATAGTTAAAATTTAGCGAATCGAAACGAATTTCAGCGATGCCGGGCGATCCTCCGTTCACCCTGATGCCGGCATAACTGGAATCGCTTGATAATTAAGGCAATGTCTTGCATACCGGGCTCGCCGTTCCCCGTCCTGGTCGGACATGTTTTGCAGCGCGGAAGGGAACGCGCGGGATGCATCGGGACGAGTAACGATCCGATATAAAATTTCACGGGGACACGTATCCCGTCCGATAGAAAATTCCTCGCGCGCTAGGTACGTTCCTGAAGGTATCAGCGCACCCGATGGAGGGGAGAATAACCTTGCAAGCTCGCACACACCCCCATTCACCCTCCCCCTCCCTCGCCCCGGTATGCGTAGTTGCGTCGGTGGTAGGGTCTGAAATTTTGGAGGTTGGCAGGATCGGTGAGCACAGAGGGGCTCGAAGGGCGAAAAACCAAGAGGGTAACGGGGCTAGGGGGGCGATGTCCTTGGGGGCGGTGGGGTGAAAGGAGGTGGTCTGAAGGGAGCCAGGCAACCTGCACCCGGCAACAGCCCCCGACCTCGGAAGAACTAATCATTAACCTCCTTTCACCCTCCCAAACACCGCTCTAACTCGACCACCTTCGCTTCACTTTCACCTGTGCCTCCCTTTCTCCCCTCCTTTCACCCCTAAGCTTTCGCCACCCACCCGAGCTCGCCCACGCTTTCTGCGATTACGATTACCACGGGCTCGCTTTCGACGCTTTTTCACGGTCATCGGTCCGATCTCGCCACCGTGCGCCATCAACTCTTTCGAAATACAACCAGAATTCTCCCTTTGAACTATCAAGCTTATCCGTGCGATCGATTGTTTTAATAAATCGTATCACGTATTACGTACATTACGGCAGAACGAGAACAAGACGTACCGCGTGTCTGTAGCACCGCACGACCTACGCTAACTCTGTTTACGTTTCGAGACGAGCATCACTCGGGGCGTAAACAATTTTTCTAATCACTTCGATACATTCTACACACGACTCGAGCATCCTGATCGAAGCTCCGCTTGGATATTTTGTACTACCACCTTCGTTCGAACGCTAGTAGCGTACGTATATTAGATCGTACTGTTCGAACGTCTCGGACGAGGATAAAATTAGTAATTTACAAGGGATGATCCCTCGACCCGGAAATTCAATAAACTTTGAGTATACGTAGATACGTATTACAACAGAGAGATGGACATTGCTCGAACGAAATATTAGTCAGCTGTGGCCTCTTCTCAGAGCACGCACTTGTTTGTTTTATTTCGTTTTCACCTTCGAAGATTCTAAACATATTGAAATTCACGAATATATCGCAGTTCTCGCTAAAATTACAATTTAAATAGCAAATGGTGACTAATTTTACTCGCGGTGTTATGCCACTAAATACTGCCATTTCTCAAAAAGGAGACAGATAGAAATTCAGTTGTAAATTCATTTTAGAAGAAATACTTCTTACTTATAAAGGAATAATTTTGCACTAATATTTGTCTTGCGTTCGTGTAACAATGCATCTTTTATCGTTTAAGAAACGTTTCTCTTTTCGATTAATTCCTCTTTCTAGAATCCTAACTTTCGACCGTGTCCCTTTAATACACACTTACGTGTATCATATTTCTCTATTACGCGTTCGAAAAGTATCTTTATGTTCGTTCTATGCGTCATACCTCTTTAAGACACTGTCAACATTCACTGTTTTCTTCCACCCATCGAAGAAAGGGAAATGGATAATACGAAACGACTCGAACTACTTTGAAACTGGTTTCACCTAGGAGATTCGTCCCAGGGAATCTACCGAGGGTTGAAGTGCGGTAACCCTGTTGCTGGTTTCTATGTGTACATCCACGTTAAAGATTGCACCCTGTGCAACCCTCCAAACTCGAAAGCTACATACATAAACGCCAAGCAAATAGATCAATAAATATAAGAATGCCAAAGCTATACATATATGCTATTATGCACTTTGCATTCTACCCAGCTGTGTAACCCCAGAAATAGAATTTTCCCCCTTCTATGACTTTTTTCAAGTACGCGACACGCTATACCAAAACATTTGATACTAATTGACACTTTCACGTCCGCATGGTTCACAAATATTTTCGTTTGCAAACTTCTTCATTAAAATGTGCAAACATAAAGCACAAAATTCATTACGACGTAATAAAGTTAACTGCTTTTTATGAAACGATACGTGTTAATCAATACGATTTATCGAGGTTATTGAAAAGAAAAATTCAAAATTTCAAAAAAGACACCACGTCGGTGTCACCGGACCTGAAAGTGTTAACAGACTTACAAAAACATAGTTTTTTTTTTATGCAATTTGCTCTGGCAATAACTTACTTTTAATTTTTAAACAAATTTGTTTTTGTTATTTTTTTACCCATATGTGGATGACAGAATTTACCACTATAATACTAGAAAAATTAATTCTCAAGTTAAAGGGTAAGACCACTGTAAAAACCTCAGTCATCATTTTGCACTATTATTGAATAAATATTTTTTTTTAAACACTTAACGACATGGTTGATAACATTCTTGAATATTCTTATCCTCTTACTCTTATTTCAGGTTATACAGTGGTCTTACCCTTTAAGACGTTGGGAGGAATAAATTTGGATAGAATTTGTGAATTTTAGCAAGGTCGCAAAAATAAATGTTAGGTTACGTAGCTCACAATGGTCTTGAAATAAAAATGTTACTTTTGCGGAATATTATACGGCTGTTTAACTGGCAGCGAACGCGTTAAATTCGGTCGAACGGTTTTCTACTTATCGCGTACGCCGCGGCGCCATTTTCTTCGTTATAAATAAACATGGACGTTCGAGAGAAAATTGTTATCGAAGTTTCGCGAACAGGTGACTTCGACCGGAACGCGCGCGTATCCGATAAAAAAATTCGTGAAAACACCGGGGTCGATTTTGGGCCCGTCGGGGTGGCCGTAACCCCTTAAAGGAAATAATGAATCCGTCAAGAAGGGATGCTCGAAGGCAGAGAGGAGCGCGCGTATCGGCCATCGGCGCACTCGTGCGAAGGTCGAGTCGGTGGCAGAAGGGTGTGTGGGGCAGCCGAAAAGGGCGACAAGAGGGGCAAGATGCAACGCACATCTATTGATTCTCCTTCAGCGTGAAGGCCCGCGTGTCCCACTCACTTTCGGAAGCACACGCACTGGCTCGCCGGCGCGCACATTCGCCGGTGGTGGTGCGCGTGCACACGCGCACACGGACACGCGCGGTCGTCCGGTGTGCGTGCACACAGGCGCGCGAACGAGTGCGTCCCGTGAATGCAAGGCACGAAACAGCCTCCTCTCTCTCGTCGTGGAAGAGGAAAAAAGAAAAGAGAAGGAAAGGGGGAACTGGATTTTGCAACCTCCCTTCCGTGCATTCCTACTGTGAATTTCCTTGGCAGGCTGCATAAAGAATTAGAACTCCGGTACACGCGGTTCCGTCGCTGCTACGCAAAGCACGTAGAGGAGGGGAAACACGGTAGAAAGGACCGATACGTAGGGCAGGAGCTTCCGACCGAAAAGCTGTGCACTTGCAACTTTGCTGAACAACAATCGCCGTTCGAAATTCTATAGAGCCCGTCGGCTTTGCAAACGGTAAACCAGATCGGTCACAGACACGCTCTCTCGACACCGAACAACAAAGTGTAAAAAAGCAAACGGACACCTTTGTTAGTTTTTAATAGTACGGCCCTGCCCGTCGTTATCGAGAGGGCAATTAACTCGTACGTAACCGAAATAACGTTCTACGGCAAGCACGGTGCCGCGAGATGTATAGAGCTGCGCGGGAAAAAACCGACTCTGAATCGCCAAGTATTTCGACGATACGAAATTCTGCGAGAAATACGTAACTCGCGAATGAATTTCGCGAAACGGTGTCGACGAATATTGTTCGTTGAGAAAAATATTTCGTAATCATGGTTACTTACTGGTTTAACCAAAGGCACCGTGAACACAGCGATCTTGAATTTCAACTTGAATTTGCGCTGATCGGCTGATTCGATCGGTTCAGTTATTCGCGTTAACGAGGATAATACACGAAACCACGTAAGGACAAAGAGTCGAAAAGCGTCGAGTTCCAATATGCACGGCCAACCTTCGCACAATGCCTGTTTCGAGCAATTATATCTTGCCTCTGTTTACATGAATCGAAAGGCACGCAAATAGTGTGACAAAAACCGTGTAACCCCGCTCGAACCGTTAACAGAATGCAAAGTTGATTCGAATGTACAAAAGTCATCGCGCCCGAGGAATCGAACATGCAGAAACACAAACACGTGCCGTTAAGGTTACAAAAACAACTGTTCTAGGTTGCTGTAAGGATAAGTGTAAACTACAAATCATGTACGTTGCAGAATATTCGACGAAATCTTCGATTCTCTTCATAAATGATTTATTTCGTCTATAAAGTTGCTGCTCATTTACTTTTCATATCGAAACGTACAAAGTTTTCAAATATTTCGTGAGAAATTAGATATATTATAGGTAATCGACACCGAAAGAGTTTTAATATCGATAAATCGAAGAAATAGACCGACATTATTTATAAAACGCGTAAGGGACAAATATTAACAAAAATTTGAGGCGCCAAATGAACGTCCTTATTAGCATTTTCATATTTCAATTTGACAATTTCATCTAAGCTGCGTATCGAGTTTATTTATACATGCCTTTCTAAAAAATCACGATGTACTAACGAATTTTGGAGCATTTGCGCGAGTGAAATACAGAACATGGAAATATTGAATAAATATCGGATAAAATAAAGCGAAACATACCCAAATCGGTTTTCCCAGCATCCGTCTCCCGCCTTTTTCGTATTCTTCTTTTTCGTAATGTTTTCAAGTGTCACTTTAATTCTAGTTGTTGAATACTACTCAATTCTAACCCTTTCGCGACGTGTCGTTAAACGCCGGTACCACGCACGGGAGAAACTCATTTTCGACAGTACATTTTTTGTTCCCTCTCCAAATGTCAAATCACGAAAGTCACTCGTCGAAGGGTTACGGATTTTCATATCATAGTATACGATGGTAGTAAAGTGGTGACAATATTCAGAAAAATAACTGATTTTCGCGAAACAATTTTAACTCCTCCGTCCGTACGCTGCCAGCAGCGAAGGCGACTGAAAACAGAGAATCGGCCGGCAGATTGTCGGTTTCATGGACGCCCTTGTCACGCATCGAAAACGAAAATTTGATCTAGTACAAGTGGCGCCGCCTAGTGAAAGCGGGAAGATTCGCTTTGCCTTTACCTTTTCAATGGGGACGATATGTTCATGCTGCAAGATTCACACGTTCCTTTCCAGACATAGTCTCTAAAACGTTTAACAGAACTGATAACGTTATGCTATTATATTTTTTTGAAATATTAAATTTCGTGTAAAAGCTAATGAAAAACATTTGTCTGAAATTGCCTGTTCAATTTTCTCCACTGGTGTGGAAATATGGATCTGTTACTTTTTATTTCTGTACATGCGCCAATCATTATGGTCCATATAAATAAATTAAATGGGCTGGTTCTATTTCGGTTAAGCTTTATTTTAATTCTCTATACAGCTTTTGACCATGTTCGTAATACTTCGATATCTCGTTAATTTGGAATATGGGAAATACATCCCATTTGTATTTATAATTCATAATCAACTCCGCGAATAAAATATTTTAGTATAAATAGAATTATCACGTGACTACGAATATTAATAAATTAACCAACAACTAGTAAATTATCTTCGAGGAATTCGTATTCCGGGACTTCAAGGTTTAAAGGTGCAGGCCCTTTTCTGATTCTCCCACTGGCATCATAGTGAGAACCGTGACAAGGACAATAGTATCCACCAAAATCACCAGAATTGGCAATTGGGACGCATCCTAAGTGTGTACATACACCTACTACAATTAACCATTCTGGTCGCTTTACACGATCCAGATCTGCCTCTGGGTCTCGTAAACTTGAAATATCAACATTTGCTTCTTTGCTGATCTCGCTTGCTGGTCTATCATTATTATAAAATAATAATTATAATTGAATACATTTACAAGCAATACTGATCAAATTCCACTGTATCTAAATACTTGCCTGTGTCGTACAAACAAAGGCTTTCCACGCCACTTGAAAACAGCACTCTTTCCCTCAGGAATATTGTTAAGATTAACTTCTATTTTTGACATGGCTAGTACATCCGCAGAAGCAGCCAAAGAACTAACCAAGCTATGTACAATTCCTTTAGCCCCATAAAGGGTGCCAGCTCCAGCAGCTATGTAATAAATAAAAATTTGTCATTGTACGATCTTAAAAAACATAGAAACAAAGAGGCAAAAAAATTCTAGTTACCAGCAGCTATGACATATGAGAATGTTTTTCGTTCGTCTGCAGATTTTTTGGATCTTTTTGTCGGGTCTTGTACAGAATCCCTACGATACGATGAAAAGTCTGGCCATTGAATATCGGTATGTGCCAATCTCTTTTGCAATACTTGCGTGCTCCCTATGAAAACACAATAATGCAATGAAAATATATTCCATTCTTGTAATAAGATTTGCTCGTCAATCAAACAGTTTAATACAGTTTTTTATAATGAATAAAAAATAGAAAACAAAAAAGATAAAATTGCAATCGTTAAAGTTTTACAACAGATTTATTGTACAGTAGGCTCGATTGGTAGTACAGTGGTCTGCAAACCATGCACTATGTACACGGTACGATTACATAATCCAAATATAGAAAATCGCATTTAGTTGAAACAAATACATAAACCGATAAAACGATGTTTAAGAAAAGGTTTCGAACCTGTAATTCCTGTGCTTACACGTACAGGCCTAGTTAAAAGGCATTCGGTCATACTAGGTTCAACCATTCGATTGACGATAGGCTTAATGACAATTTTTGTTCTCAAAGTAGTACCAGTTGCAGCTGTTGGACGTACTCCATTTGAAACAACAGTCGTCGCCGATTTTAAAATCGGCGACAGATTCGTCGACTTTGCTACCACGTTCATTTTTACTAAACTGCGCACGTAAGAACAAACGGGCTATCCTTTCGGGCACCGACTAAAATTCGAAGACATACATTGTCAGATGGCTCTGCGATGCAACGTTCATAAGGTTCAATAGATGTTGCACAATAATGTGCAAAGTGCTCATTAATTGGACAATTTCCAAATTTCAGTAGTTGAAAAATGCATATTATGAAACATCGTAACATGAATCATAGCTGTGATTTACATGAATTACGCATTAATTACAAATTCGTTAATTTCATTTCATTTTTACCAGAAATAAGTGGCCCACATTGTAGATAAAATTGTAACGATGGAATGTTAAAGTTTCAGTTTTAGTTAATTAGTATTTAAATTTAAATTGCACCTAATCGTGTGCCAACTTCAGTAGTGCAGTAACTTGCACAAAATAAAGTGATAATATAAATTATTCTATATTTGTAATAAAGTTTTCTTACGTAACATAAGCTATAAATAAATATTCTTCAAAATTGAAGCACGTTCCATGAAGTTTTTTTTTATAAATTTTCATTATAGTTTGGAAAATATTTCACTGGTGGCGCTGCTTTCAATCAGTACTTCCGTATTCTGATTATAAATATGTTTTCTGCCATCGTTTACCAATTTCACCCAGAGTTTTCATAACCTTGTGTAACATGCGTATAGAAACGTGTTATTTTTGTTCTTCCCGGATTTATCCGGGACACGGAATTCAATTTGTTAGAAATGATTGCAAGGTCAGAATTTTATTAAACGCGTTGTACGTGGATATTTTAAGTGAAATAATGTAAAAACAATTCTGTTTCAAAACGTGTGCATTAGGTTATATATTTAAGCCTTTGACAAGTAAATTTGTTGATAGTTATATCGGTGGTACTGTGTAAAATGTTATTTATACTTTAACTTGTCTTTTTATATTTCGATGAAATATTTGTTATTCTATAGTAATATTCATCAAAGGGTTAAATTAACTTTTATGTGACTAATATATATTTTATAATTTTCTAACTTGTATCATAAATTTTATTTGCAATAGATATTCAGATTTTGTCGCGCAAAATGTCATGCAGCATTTAAGAAAAAGAAAAATCCAAGAAAAGTCAAATGGACCAAAGCATATAGGAAAACAGTTGGTAAAGAATTAGCGATAGACCCATCTTTTGAATTTGAGCGAAGAAGGAACATTCCTGTCAAATATAATAGAGAATTATGGACTAAGACTGTCGATGCGATGAAGAAAGTAGAAACAATAAGACAGAGGAGACAGAATTTACACGTAATGCAGCGGTTACGAAAAGGACGCGAATTAGAAAGAGAAAGAGACATTAAAGAAGTTCAACGTGATTTATCTCTTGTAAGATCACCTGCTGCTGGACTTAAAGAAAGGAATAAAGTAGAAGAAGCTCCAGAACAAGAAGAAAGGATGCAAGAATCTAGCGATGACCAAGAACCACAAGAAATAGAATTGAATTAATTGAATCGGTACATCAAATGATAGCATCTCTTAAAGTAAATTATGTTTGACTACTTCATGTATTCGTAATACAGACAAAGGATAGACGAAATTTTGATTACTTCATAAAAATATATGAAATGACATCATTTATCATTTTTTCAATCAAAGAGTATGAATATATGTATTAAAACATTGTAAATATAAATTAAGTTTGAATAAAAACAAATCTATTTGTATATTTTAAATTTGGTATTGTATCTATTAATGTTTCACTCGTTTAAAAATATTAATCGATCATTATTTATTAAATAAGTATCATTACATTACGAATAAGTTTAAAAGAGAAATAAACAAATAAATTTCCACTTCCATTTTAATGATTAAACCGCTAGTGTTAACTGATTTCGATTGTTTTCGAAATACTGTTTTTTTAAATATTTAATTTGAATTCTAAATACTGAGAGTCTAGAAATCATATTCCAGTCTGAACTGATAATCTTTACGATACGAAACAGCATTGCTCGACACGTCTATTTTATACCTCGTCTATGTCTGAATTTCATTTATGATCTATTATATATTTTTTCGATGCTCTAATTCTTCATTCTTCATATAAAATGTAATATAAATACCATCAGCAATCGTACTGCCTTTATCGGCCACTTGTTTTCATTTTCTACTGTACGTAACAAATGAATACATGCAGTAAAAAAAAATTAATAAAAAGTAAAATTAGGTTATGAAACTCAAAACCTAATCCAGTCCGAGTTTGCAATAATCGATACTCGATATAATTTTTCGTTACATTGATCGAAACTTGGTTAGATGATTATACGTATATTCACTCATTCGGCAATTAAATCGTATACCTTACATATTAACCTAATAAAGCAATTACACGTGTTTTTAAAAATTTCACTAAAGTTGAATAAATTCAAGTTTATGCATAATTTTTATAGAGTATGATGCATGTATTATAAAAATATATATAATTCATAAACAGTAATTTTATTAAATATTCTGTAAGCATATAAAACACTTACATAGTGTAATGTCTGTGAAAAAGCGAAGTATAGACATAAATAATTTACATAACAAAATAAGTATTTAACTTTAAAAAAAATGGTATTTTAAAAATCGAATTTCACATTTCATAGTTTATTTTTGTTATACCTATTAATCCCAATTTTTTACACGTGATTCCGGCTCGAGAATGCACCAGTTTGGAGAATGTTTTTCATTGGATAACCAATTGAAATCATCGATACAATTCCAATTGTTTATTTTTGGATCGAGACCAGCTAGATTGAAATGATTTGCTTGATCTTCATAAGACCAATTATAAGGCGCTACGCGTATCTTTGTACAATCTTCTATGATTGACCTACTAGTAACGTGTAAATAAATAGTACAATCTGTCGAAGAGTGTAATCGAAGCTGTTGACAAGCAAAAGCAAATACACATTCGCTACAATCATGGATAAATACAGATGATGTTACCGGCCCAACCAATACAGTACACTGCTTTAAGTTTATCATGTGCAATGTACTAGGTGTGCCATAAATTCGCACTGTACAACGAATTAGATCAGAAAGTAGAATATCATTTTTATTCACATTTTCAGCATCCAAAATTAGCTGTTCGTCAACTTTCCCTAATATCATACACGCACTGTCTCCATATTTACTTGATAGTTTGTGATTTTGTTTTGTAGAACCATTCACAATTCCTTCTGATATTTTCAAATCTTTCAAACCATCCGTCATATCGTGTGTCTTGTCCGAGGTCTTTTTTACAACCCTTCGATTTTTAAAACCAAATTTCTTCTTGGGTAGTAACTTTAGTTCCAGATCGGAAGCTTCATTTTCTAATAATTGTAAATGTTCCTGTGCTCTTCTAATATCGTAAACTTTTAAAAACATTTTTGATTGCGACAAATAAGTCTTAAGTGTTTGAATTTCCTTGTTTGTTTTATCAAATATTCCAGGAAGAGTCGATGTGGGAGCACTAGGTGCATCGTCTAACATTTCTTTGATCTTCTTGCACGTTGAATAGAAAGTGTCTTTAAAATAACTACTTTGTTCAGCTTCAACAGCCAACGATTGTCGTTCTTCTTTCCGTCTCTCGATGATATTTTTCCTTTCACGATCCCTTTTGGTAATGCGTTCCGATAAACTTCCTTCTATGAGAGTGGCAGAGTCCATATTGCTGTTTAAATGCTATTTTTCAACAAAGGTTATATTCTGGACAGAATTTAACTTGATATACTTGCTATTTGTCACTAACATAGATTGATTTTCTGAAGTGTTTTGTTTTAATATACTCAAATGATTTTTTTGTTTGTTTATATTTGAAGATGTCCTATACAAAGACTGAAAAATACAAGTGCGTAAGGTATTGAACAAAATTGCAATAAGTATTTACAACACGAAAATGTGAACAAAAACTGTTGATTATATTTCTGTTTTAAATATAAATATACTGTTATCATATAGGAATATAAAAAATTTGACAAATTTATTCCATATAACGAGTATCAAAAAAATTAATTTTTTCAACATTTTTCTACATTATTTCATGCACTAAATATAAAAATGTAAAAACATTTATACCAGAAATGAGATAAAAACCACTGAAACCATTTAAAAGTTTAGAATGTTTATTCGGACATAAAATTGTGCAAGTTCAAGAAAATATTTTTTTATTTCAACTTGACCATACTTTTACAGTAAACTTTTGTCGAATTCATTGCTTGAAGTTATTCAACAGAGAAAAATTCGTTTGTTTTGTAGTTAACTTGTCAAGAGATGTCGAATGATGCAACACATTTGTTTAGCACTAATGAATTCTTCAATGAGCTTACAAACTTGAAATTCAATTTATGAGATTTTAATGGTTAAATTAAAAAGAAATAAATCATTCGTCGATGCTGGCCATATGTGAAAAATTAACAAAATTTTAAATAACATATATTATTGCAGATACTGTAGTATTGTTGTAACTTATGTTATAACCTGACATATAAGTAAAATTTACGAGATTGTTCATTATATCCATAACATATTATATATATAATATATATTGCACTGCGTTTTTATAAATATTCGGGAACAACAATTTTTGTTTGTAGATTCACGTCTTAATACATAAAAGTACATTTACGATCAAATATATACATACCTTTAGCACGTCTTTTCTTTTAAAAGAATGAATGTGTAGAAAACAATGTTTAGAACCATTACTTCCTCTTAAAAACACTAAATATCTCACGAACTCCATGAAGATCTACTGTTCATTTCGTGTTTCCCAAGTTTGCAAATCATACAATCTTACGTTACTATTTCCAGGCCCTTGTTCACTGACGGTATAATACAGCTCTAGCAGGGACGGTAGCTTTCGATAAAAAAAATATCTGCAATCTATCGTTTATCGATATTTATATCAAAATTTTGTTGAACATTTTACAAAAGACTTATTCGCAGTGAACTATATTATTTGGACAGTTTAAACGTAATTTCAATAAATCGCGAAAAACTTTAATTATCGTTATTCGCTAACTTTATATTTTTCAATTAACTAATCGATGCATCTGATAATATGTTATTGTAAAAGCACGATTATAATACAGGAATATGAACACGAGCGGAATTAACCTAAAACATAAAGGACTCGCAAAAGATGATATACGACTTACTTTGAGATCTATCCATGCAACACCAGCCTATAATTGTTCCGGTAACAAATGCAATCTCGGAAATTATCAAAGTCCTGATGCCCCTAGAGATCGAAAATATCGGTTTTGGTGTTTTGGAAAGCATACTAGCTAATAACAAGATTTCCTAAAATGGAAATTATCAATACCGTAAAGAATAATGTGCTTCTCGAGATATCGAGATCAAGTGCGATAGGATAGGAAGGGATAGCGCAATCTTACGGTAGGATTCTTACCCGGCTCACTCGCGTTGCGCAAACTCTCGAACTCGAAAGTATAGCAATCTGTTCGATATAAACTTCCGATAAGAACGGCGGTAAATTTAAAGTTGCACAGTTTTGTACGAATCGTACAAGCAGATCGATCTTAAAAATATATTTGATTTATGAATGAAATTGATTCTAAAGTATTTAACAGAAAACAATACGCAATATATAGGTATAGTTATAATTTGTATTAACTAATATAAAAAATTGTAATAACTAATCATTAACAGCAAGTAAAATAAATTCATCAAGCCTTAGTTAGGCCCTCTTTTTATCATAGTTTATTGTGATGAATTGTTAATATATACAATATTTTAAAGTCTAATATCGTGTAAGATGTTATTTAATACTCGTCTCACATACTATAAGGGTGAAATTAGGTATCGTAATAAACTCTTTTTATAGCATAATCTTATATGTGTATAACTGTACTAATTTAATAGTGTACAAATTTTTGGAAAAAGTGCAGGCCCTTGTACCTATGGAAATAGTCTAAATTAAAGATTGTAGAAGAATATTTATTACACAGCCTTTCATACATAAGTAAGCACAGATAAAATATACAAGTAGAGAACGTGTTTTTAAAGCAACATTAAGACTGTTCTGTGAGTAGCATTCATTACATACGCAACAATAAAAGAATACCACCAAAATAATTTTTCTTTTGATCTGTACAAGAAATGACACTATTTCCTTACTTAATTTAATATATTAAATGTTCAAAGTCAAGCATAAATTTTGTATCAAAAGTTTGTTTAATTTTAATACGATTTAATTTCAGTTACTACATCAATCTATTATTAAATTTATTACAATCTTTTAATCTGCAATAATACAAGCGGTGCCTTACTAAAATAACATGTTAAATAACATAGGCTATATTTTAAAAAGTTACGAAGTATATTCTCATTTATGAAAAATAGGAAATGTTCATCGTTACATGTACTATACATAAACGTAACTACTTATTCACGCATTTGGCTGACTTTTTTATAGTTCGTTTAAAATATTTTATATAAATTATGAGTAACACAAGCAATTAGCTCATGCATTATTGGTCTTAAATGATACCACTAGTACCTAATGTTACGCAATTTTAATATGAAGTATCTAAAGTAGATATTTTAAGAACAAACACACATTGCTATTGTAACAAACGGCAGTTCTTTTCATAAAACCATATATTTATCATTTTATGTACATATGAAATAATAATGTAAAACCTAACAAATTAAGAAAGTAATATATAGTATAATAATAATATTATTAATAATAATAATAATAATAATAATAATATACATAAAAGTTCTTAAACAAGTTATATTTTCTTGATAAAGCTGAATCATATTATTACAACCTAATTATATTTGTTTCTTTAATAGACATTTCAATTGCACTGTGAAAACACAAATTGTTATGTGAAAATATATTGTTCTTTAATGTCTAAATATCAAGTTGTAATAAAAGTTCTATTCATTTCCAAGATTTCATAAAAGAGCATATTTGCCAGGTCATGATGAATGAGTTTCATTGAGATTCCAATGTAAATATAACAATGAGAAACCTCACAGAATATACAGGGTGTGTCCCGGATTTCTCCCGACAAACTGCGAAGATTTAATCTATGGGCAAAAATAAGAGAAAAATATTATATTAGTTTGGCAATAAATACTTTGTTACAGAGTTATAAATAAATATCGTACATATAAAATAGGTAATAACGCATTTTCCATTGCAACACACAGAAGGTCGATTATGTTTGTGCAGTTTCATTATCCTCTAATATCCTTACATATTCTAATATTTTTACTAGCAGTTAGTCTTCAACTATAATATTAAGTAAACTTACATCTTATGTCAAAATGTTAAGAATATTTTCTAACGAGGAGTATGTTTGATATTCATTTTGTGTACAGTTTATGCGACGGATTAATTATTTTTTATTATATTAATTACTAACGATACGTAATTGTTACCAGATGATAAAAATATGCAATTATGCAGAACAGATAAACACAGACGACCTTCTGTGTACTGTTATGAAAAATATACTATTACATATTTCGCTCATACAATGTTTGTTCATGACTCTGTAACAAAGCGTTTGTTGGAAAACTTTATATAACAATTTTTTCTAAGTATTGCTTATGCATTACGTCCTCGTAAGTTTTAAAATTTCTGACTTTAATTTTAAAGATGAATTAAGTGAACATAATGTTAAGCTATATTGAAGATTACAATTTATTACAAATCCAATTGTTACAGTGAGAAAAGTTGTGAATAAATATTCAAAATGGATAGAACTTTCATTATAGCCTGATATTATTATTCTTCATTATACTTTTTAAAAACATTGATATAACTGGTCCAAAATTATTTAAAAATCGTTTATCATGATTCAACATATAATACTGTTTAAAAAGTAGTTATTTTATTTGAATTATTTATTTCATACTTTTTTTTTATAAATTAATTATAAAATTACTTTCCTTTAATTTGCAGATTTATATGAAATATTTTCGCCCCTTATTTACATAAAATAATTTAAATGATTAATATTTAATGCAAATTTCTATATTTATTTTGTCAAACATGGTATCCTTTGTATCTCAAGTTATTGTATTATATTAATCTTATAAAAAAGAAGACTTCTAAGACTTTTTCTTATTGCTTTTCTATGCTCCGCCAACAAATATAAACGTACTTAATCACAAACCAACAATTAGCATTATGTTCTCAATATTACATACGACTGAAACGAAAAGTATCACTGGAAAGTTAACCATGACGATACACGTGGAACTTGAATGCCATTTAAGTATATTATTCTGATAGAATTTATTATTTATCGTTTGTTGTATTGTGAACTACGTCAAGTTGTTAATTGAATATGAATTCAAATTATGAAAAAATGCTGGAAAATTTTAGATTATAAAGTGCTAAGGCACCAGAGGTAAATGCAAATGATAATAGTGATTGACATCATATTATCTCACTATAATTTTAGGGGCATAAACTACAGACATTTTCGTTTTATGTAAATGTATTTATAGTATTATATATTTTTTTTATTTTTATTTTTATTTTTTTTTATTTTTTGAAAGTATTTGTACACATATACTCTACAGCTTCTGATATTGTGAGATCTCCAGTTTGTTTTTTAATCGTTCATTACCAGATTTAAAAACCTTAGGTAATAGTTTAGCATTCTTATTTCCTTATTTATGATAATATTTTGAGATGTTATTGTGTTATTCAATACGAGAAATGTAATTTATTCATTTATTATTTCTTTCCTCATATCCATGCATTTTTGTGATTAACGTTTGCCGATTAATTTAAGAAAATTAGACTGCTACTGTTTATAATGACGTGATATGATTAGAACATAAATATAATATACACATCGCATAAATGTAATAAATACAGCATGACAAAATGCTGTAATATTATACAGGGTGATCGGTAACTGGTGGTACAAGCGAAAAAGGGGTGATTCTACATGAAAAAGTAAGTCTAAAATATGGAATAAAAATTTTTCATGTGAAACTTTGTTTTCGAAAAAATTCAAAGTCGATTTTCTCGAAAACAAAGCCTCGCATGAAAAATTATTATTCTATATTTTAGACTTATTTTTTCATGTAGAATCAACCCCTTTTCGCTTATACCACCAGTTACCGAACACCCTGTATACGTTCAAATTATGAACTATTCACAGAATGTATGCACATTTGATTTATGATTTCAAAATATTATATCATAAATGACAATTCATATCACTTGGTAATAATGGGAATAAAGGAAATGCAATGTATAAAGATATTTGATTTATACGAAGTAACCAATGCTTTAAAATAAATATTTAAAATCTATATAGCCTATTGATACTATTTTAAAGTTTTTACACGCGTGGCAATTTTAAGGCAAATGTAATATTTATAAATTTTTGACACCAAATGAGTATATCTCAATATAAAATCACAGTATTGAATAAAGGTACTAATTTCAGTATTGATGTTCAAATATCAGAGTCAGTTTATTTCTTTCTATAATAAAATCATCAAGATCTTTAGTTCTCTGTTAGCCTTAAACTAAACTGTATGTCTCATAAAACAGTTCAGATATTTTCAATGATCACAATTTACCTCGGTTGTCCTTCACTGCAAATTATTCTACTGAAATAAAATTTTGTTTCATAGAATATTTATATTACTTCTACACTTTTTTACCATATTTCAAGACATCTCCATACAATTTGAAACATACAGTATCATTTGTATACAAGATGGCAGTTACATACGCGATGAAAAATGAGAGTAAGTATCACCTTTATTAACGATAAAAAAATGAATAGAAATTCATCAAGCACGAAATTGTTATTTACAACATTTTATTTTTAGAAAGGTTAAATTTGACATATTTCTTGTCAAAACAAATTTTCTATTATAATTTTGTAAAACCACAAATTTTGCTTTCTGTAATGTTCATATTAATGCACATTCATTTTTTTCTTTTTATATTAATGCTAAGACGGAATTTGTTGAATTTTTATTCTGCCATAACCTAGACTAGTCAACAGATTATGTTATTTTTGCTTTTAATCGTTAGCTCACATCAGTAAATCATTCAAATTCAATTTTAACAGGCGAACGGATTATATGGTTTCATATAAAATCCGTTTATCAGAAAGAAATAGGTTTTCAAATAACGTCTGATTGTTAGTTTTTTTTTTAACCGGTTAGCAATTAATGCTAACATATCCCTCATTGACTTTCAGTAGTATGTAGTCGTTTAACCAGACTTACAGTAATGAGGCATAAAAAGATAGCTGCTGGGGGCAGGAAAGAGTCAGTATGATGATCAATATGACAGTCTTTTGAACACCATGAGGTCATGGGAACACTGATGCACTGTAGTTC